ACAGCTACTTGACTCAAATGATCTGCTTGAATCAAGTCTGCATCCAATCAAAATTGACACTAAAATAACAAGATCAGAATATGCAATAGAAGAAGAAGTTCATTTTGAAGTAGAATTAGTTAATAAACCTGCAATTGTGTCTGAATGTAAAATAGATGATAATTTGATAAACCTTGACAATAATTCGTTGATATGGGATACCCATTTAACTCATGAGCAGTTTACAACTTTTATGTTCTGTTTTCAAAATGGGTACGACATTCCAGATCCCTTGTAAAAGTTATATAAAGAATTCAAACTGAAACCGATTTCATGTACAAATACCATTTTAGAAATAGATGACTCTGTTCGGATGCCAACTGAATCCATAGTTACTATTCCATTTTTAAATCAAACTATTGTTCAGCAATTTCCTGTGCCCAATGAAACAACTGAGAAATCTAGTTTTTTTTCCAATGAAACCACTAATGATTGTAATCATATGCCAATTGGAGCCATTGTTCAGCCTAGTCTGACACCAATTATGTTGTTTACAAACCATTCAAATAATGATAGTGACAATGATATTTTGCCTTATCCAAAGATATTTACTATCAAGTCAAAAAAAATTGAAAAAAGGTTCAAAAATATTTTGTATTAACTTCTCAAGAAGCAATGCAATCTAAAGTAAATGATGACGAGAAAAAAAAAAAAATTGCAGCAGCGGAAGAGAAAAAATTGAAAAAACAAAAAGAAAAAGAAAATAAAGCACAACGAAAACAGGAGAAAGAGATACTGAAGTTATCTAAAAAAGCTAACTCAGTTAGAATGAGAAAATTTAGTTCAATTCCAAAGATATTGGAATTCAATATCTCTTCAGATAATCAAAATATTTGTATTAAAGTACCAGATAATGCATTTATCTCCATCGATAATAATAGTAGTGAGCTAATGTAAATAGATTATTATCAATAATTCATTGGTAATATAATGTGAAAACCTCTTCTTGTTATTTTAATAATATTAAAACTTCTAATATATTATTGTAAAGCTTGTTGTCCATATATTGAAAATTGCATTATTATTAAAACACCTATGTGCTAAAGCTATTTTTTATTTAGAATTTGTTTTATGCTTGATTTTCTATAAAAGTAATTAAAAAGTTTCTTAACTTATTTTGTATTTCCTTAACTTATTTTGTATTTGAATAACAAATAAAAACTGTTTAAGTTTTTTTGTTTTATATCAACCAAAATATTATTTTTAAGCGAAGTATAGAATATTTTACTTTAAAAAAATAATCTTAGTTTAAGGTAGATCCTAGTTCATTTAATCGGCTTTAATCGTCTATCTGAATAATACTTTTTTTTTTTTTTTTTTTTTTTTAACATCTTTACTTCCAACAAGGCTGCAAGCAACCACTATAAGAGTTGGAAGTTACTGGAAGAGAAAAGACTAAATCTGTAGAGCAAGATAACGATTTACTGATGACTTAAAAGATTGCAAATTATATGAATCAGGAAAGCAAGATGAAGGAAGCGAATTCCAAAGAACTGATGTTCGAGGAAAAAAACTAGAAGAATAAGAGTTTTTGAAGCACTTAGGAACAGTCACAGAAAAAGGATGAGACTTAATTGAATGGCGAGTAACACGAGAATGAATTTTAGTAGATGGCACAAGGGACGCTAGCTCTTTAGAGCAGTGCCCATTATAGTATTTGTAGAAAAGAGAAAGAGAAGCAACATTACGACGATGTGACAAAGGTTGGAGATTGGCTGCCAGAGCAGGTCCAACTATGTTTACAATTCGTTTTTGCACCTTGTCTAAAAGAGAAAGAGCATCATTAGAAGATCCGCCCCAGATGTGGCAACAGTATTCCATACAGGGACGGATTTGAGATTTATAGAGATAGAGAATAGAATCTGGAGTAAGAAAGTGTCGAGCTCGATAAAGAGATGCAACCTTAGCAGATGCTAATTTTGCAATGGATTTGATATACGGTTTAAAAGAAAGATCAGAAGTAAGAGTTAATCCTAGAAGATGAATGGTAGATGACTCATCTAGTACATTACCATTCATAAATATAGGAAGATCTAAATTATTACGATAACGATTGGCCAAATAAAATTAAGTTTTATTTGAATTAAAGTTCACCAGCCACTGTGAGCCCCATGCTGTAGCAGAAGTGAGATCCTTTTCAAGCTCAGATACCCCCTCCAAGCAATCAGAGAGTGTAGGCTTCTTATCATGACAAGAGTAAATGGTAGTGTCGTCAGCGAATAATGCCACCTTAGATGTGAGAATATCTGGAAGATCGTTAATGTAAATTAAAAAGAGTATAGGGCCAAGGATTGAACCTTGAGGAACCCCTGAAGTTACAGGATGTGAAGAAGAGTGTTGTCCATCGAGGACAACTTTTATACTACGATTGGAAAGAAAGGACTCAATAATCTTAAAGACGTTACCAGCTACACCATAAGAAGAAAGCTTATGGAGAAGACCAGCATGCCAAACTTTATCAAAAGCTTTAGAAATGTCAAGTGCGATAGCCTTAACCTCTCCACCTCTATCTAATGCACGGTAAAACCTATCGGTTAATACTGTTAGCACATCAGCTGTAGAACGAGAAGACCGAAATCCATATTGATGATCAGAAAGTAAGTTATTTGATTCAAGATGAGAGATTAAGTGTTTGTTGATTCAAGATTCAAAAACCTTGCTTATGACAGGAAGAAGACTAATGGGACGGTAGTTAGATGAATCAGATCGCTCTCCGGAATTTTTGAAAATAGGGATAACAGATGCTGCTTTCCAGCATGATGGAAAACAAGACTCTGATAAGCACTTGTTAAATAGTTTAGAAAGTATGGATGAAAGCTCCGGAGAACACCTCTGCAAGACTACAACAGGAATGTTGTCAGGACCACAAGCTGTTGAAGAGTCTAAGCAGGAAATTACTTTAGATACAGAAGCTGAAATGATGCGAATGTCAAGCAAGGGATCAACCTGTTTGACGGCTACGTCAGGTAAAACGCAACTAGTGGAATCAAGAGATGATATTGATGAAAAGTTCTTAGCAAACAATTCAGCTTTGTCTTTAGGTGAGGTGACAAAGTCTGAACCATACAAGAGAGAAGGAATAACAGATTTGCCCTTATTATTGATACTGTTAAAGATTCTCCAGAAGTCTCAAGAGCCTAATTTTTGTGATGAGATACGAGATTTAATGACCTGGGAATAGCGAGCTTTGGCGTCAGACAAAACCTTTTTACAATGGTTTCTGGCGATAGTGAACAGATGTCTGTTTTCTGGAGAATTGTTTTGCTGATAGATATGGAAGCAACGGTTTCGATTAGAAATTGCTGCAGCGCAATGTGAGGAAAACCAAGGAGAAGAGTGAGGCTTGACCTGGAATCGTCGAGAGGGAATAAAAGATTCCATGCCAGCCTGAATCCACGAAGTTATGTAAGAAGCACATTTGTCAGCAGGAAGACGAAAGATTTCTACCCAAGGGCCATCACGAAGAAAATCACGGAAAGAGTCCCAGTCAGCTTTAAGGTAGTTGTATGTGGTACGATGATAGGGGGATTCTGATGAGGTAGAAGAATTTGATAATAGTTTTAGAGAGATCAAACCGTGATCAGAAGTACCTAAGGGTGAATGTGGAGAAATTGAGCACTGACTAGGATCCAAAACAAGACATAAGTCAAGTAGAGAAGGTAAATGATTAGGGTTGTCTGGAAAACGAGTTGGAAAGTTGACTATTTGAGTTAGAGATTGAGAAAGGCAAAAGTTGAGGGCCTTAACGCCAGCAGAGTCACTGACACTAGAGCCAAGCCAATCGGTGTGATGGGCATTAAAGTCACCAACAACGACGATATTGGCCGATGGATAAAGAGAGAGGGCTTGGTCAATTTGATCAGAAATAACATCAAGAATAGTGCAATCTTGGGATGAAGGAGAGCGATATAGAACAAAGAGAAAGGCAATAGAGTGAAGTTGTGCTAAACGAAAGCACATAAATGAATAGTCTGTAGATTCAAACCTAGTTTCACGACAAATGGGTGATTTCTTACGAATGTAGATGCCCAGGCCAAGCATGTGATTATTGGAGTCTTTACGAATTAAAGGAAGATAACCATCAACACCAAGATCACAAGATGGGACAGCCGAACTCAAATTAGTCTCACAAAGAGCAAGTAGGTCTGGTGAACTTTGCAAGAGATAAGACTCAACAGAAGAAAAGTTACTTCGAAGACCACGAATATTAGTAAATGATAGGTTTAGAGAACTTGGTGATGACGATGGTTTTTTGTGTTTTTTAGTTTTAGGTACTTTAGTCATTTTAAATTTATAAAGAACTTGACTCAAGTATAGATAGTACTCAGTACACTATTTAACAACTAAGCAATAGCCTCATTACTATTAATAAACCCTAAGCCGTAACAAAGGGCTCCAAATGTGGCCTCTGCAATGCACACCAAAAGTACAAACAGGGACACCATCCATGCGCAACATGGCACTGTTAGTACTCTGATATTTTTCGGCTGTTGATGGAATCAGCCTCTCTGAGAGCTACCACAGAGTTCGGGAAACCTGACTACCAGCCGGCCTCAGAACCATAAAACTGAGTTTTAGAGCTGTACCCTCATTAGGAGATAATAGAATGAGTTGCCCAGTCATAAAAATAGAGACACAAGCAATACCCACGCATTGAGTCAAGAAGATCCAGCGTTCAACATCCTAAACTGGAAACAATGTATTAAAAATACATCTGCGCCAGCCTAATAGATGAGGAAGGGGTGCGAGGCTGGTCAACAGATAGAATCTGTTTACCCCTTAAGGATATATAACTTAACGATATATAACCATTCTTAGATAAATTGATTTTAGGTAATGTAAGTGGCTCATAATAGGTACCGTTTTTTAACTTGCTGGTTATTATTTGGTCTACCCGGCTATTAATTGGTACCAATTTAAAATCTCAGTTTAAATAAATTTTTGTCTGAATTAAAAATGTTTTAAAATTAAAAAAGGTTTGCATAAGGTGTAGGCGTTGGTCATTAATAAAACAGTAAAAAAAAAATTCATTATTAATTTAAGACATCCTACACGACAATTTATAAAAAATTTGTGGCCATTATTTAATCACTTTGCCCTAACTGTTGATAATGAATCTTTGAAAACTTTCTGGTGCCCAAAATCAGGCATTGGCTTCCAAAAGGGCAAAAGACTGTGAAAAAAATAAACAAAAGCTCCAAGAATTAGGTTGGTTTTACAAAGCTACTAATCAAAATACTGATTTGAAGGTGAGTTAGTAGAAATATATAGGTCAATAAATATATTTCTTTTATTTCCGAAGCAATTTAAGAAAAATAATTAAACATTTTTTAAGTCGGCGGAATTAAATAAATCAGAACAAACAATGGAATCATCGTATTATGATGATGTTGATCTGCATTCTCTTGGTTCAGTGGAAAATGAAACAGACGACAGTTTTAACGATAAATTAAAACCCGAAGAAAATAAAGGTTTTTATACAAACAATAATTCAAAATAGTTAAATAATTAATTAAGTATTAGGTTTTAGTTATTTTTTTTTAATTTAGGCGTTGAAAATGACCCAGCACTCTGGCCATCGATTCTTAAGCAAAGAGAAAAAGAAGAGTCAATCAAAAAAGGTCCGTCAACTTTACCTGATGATTTCCCACGAGATGCTTCTAATAACAGGGCCTTTCCAAAAGAAGTTCTTTTCATTGCATTGCCTAATGGAGAAAAAGTTCAACGAGATTATCTGATATAGAGCCCATTCCCTTGGAGCCCATGGAGTCTAACTCTCTACTTTGATTCCCGTGTTCTTTATTTGGGTGTGAAAATTCCGGATCCTATGGAGATCGATCTCTTCTTTTTCGCTGAAATGGAGGAATAAAAAATGACTGGAGAAAATTGAGTGATCGTATCAAAAGTCATCATAGCAACCCAGTTCATCAAAGCCATTATCTCAATTGGAAGACTTTGCACTCAGCTCTTGTCGATCAGCGCGGGATCGACTCAGAGAGAGCCAAAAGGCACTAGAAAAGGAAGAAGCCAGATGGCGTGAAATACTTCGTTGTATTTTAGATGCAATTTTATTTTTAACATCTCAAAACTTATCCTTTAGAGGTAAATATTCTAGGCCAGAACTCTAAATACTTAAGAATAAATTCTTATTTTTAGTATTACAGAATTTCTATTATCTACATTTAACTAACTTAAAAAACATTGTTTTAGGGCAATATTCGTCGATGGAGAAGAACGAGAAAGGGAACTTTTTAAGTTGCCTTGAACTTATTTCTCGTCACAACTAAACATTAAAGAATCATCTTGAAACAGATGCTCGTCATCAAAATAAAGGAACCAGAATGGTTCCTTTATTTTCCTTCTATGTCAAGTATATGTATATGTATATGTATATGTATATATATGTATATATATATATATATATATATATATATATATATATATATATATATATATATATATATATATATATATATATATATATATATGAGCCGTGGCGCAGTGGTTAGAGCATTGGACTTGTGACTCAAGGGTTGCGGGTTCGATCCCAGCTCGAAGCACATAAACGCTATCGGTGAAGTTGGGCGGGCGGCTTGAAGGCTCTCGGCGGCCATATATATATATATATATATATATATATATATATATATATATATATATATATATATATATATATATATATATATATATATATATAATATATATATATATAGGGAGATTTGAATATTGTACTTAAAGTCGTTATTTTTTGCATTTTTTTATTAAAAATATATTAGTTAAACTTGTGTTGAATTATCAAGTGAGATCTATATGATTTGAACATTTTAAGCTCATGGTATTAAAACATACTATTTACAGGAAATTTGAGCATGCTCATATAATCAGGTGTTTTAGCATGAAATTGATCGTTTGTCGCCTTTACGTACGATTCCTAACACGTGCTTGGTTATATTTTTAAAAAAACCTATGGGTTTTTTATTTTCAAAATTATTTGGTGATGCCAAAAAATCGTAAAATAAAAATTGAAAGAGCTGAATGGCGTTTTAAAAATTTGAAAAAAGCAGTTGATGATGCATTAAAATATGAAAGAAATCAAAAGAATGCGGCAAAATTATTTGTTATACCAAGACAGACATTAAGACGTTATATAAATAAAACTAAAAATGGTGCTGATTTAAACAAAGTTTTTGGTCGACCGAGAACACTAAGCAAAGTTCAAGAAACTGAATTAGTTGGCATTGTTATTGAAATGGAAAAAAGATTATTTGGGTTAACAAAGATAGACATAAGGGGACTAGCATTTTGTTTTTGTGAAGTTAATTGCATCCCACATAAGTTTAACAAAAAATGTCAATGTGCAGGAGAAGATTGAATATGTTTATTTTTAAACTCAAACTCAAACTTATCTTTAAGAAAACCAGAACCAACTTCAATGGCACGTGCATCCGGATTTAACAAGAA